ATTCATAACCCAATTGAGAATGGAATGCATCGCATCGCATGGCATCGCATGGCATCGGATGGCATGGCATGGCTCGTGATATGCCGCGACTAATACCATAATTTCCAGCATGTTTACACAATCCATCTGGCTATATTCCAGCAAACCAAACAGACAGAGAGGGAGGGGGAGGCAGCGGGGAAAAAGAATGGAAGAGGAAAATGTCCAAGAGCAATCAGCAGGCGAAATCGTAGACCGAAGTTGGTGCCATCAATCCATAAAGGAACCAAAGGAAAATCATGAAAATCCGTGCGTGCGTTCATTGAACAAACAGGGGGAAAAGCAAGAGAGACAGATATATAAAGAGAGACAGGGAGAGAGAGGGAGAAAGGGAGAGCTAACTGTGAGGATGTCAATGTCCTGACATTTGCCAAAATGATTTCGATTTAATCGTTAGGAAATTCTTGCACCAGTCAGTCGAAAAATTCATTCATTTCCATCAAACCTAATTGCTGCAGGCATTACGAAAGAGAGAGAGAGTGAGAGAGAGCATTTAGAGGAAGAGAGATGGCATGATTTGTAAGGGGAAATTGTCACCATATGCGTCAACACGCAATAATTCACCAGAAAAATAATCCAAACAATTGACCAAAGCGGAATCCCCTCTCTCCAATACCCGTCTCCCCTCTCCAATCTCTCTCTCAGTCTCTGGTCCTTTGGCTAATGGCGAGGGTGTGTCCTCCCAGAGTCCCAGAGTCTACGCCTCTGACTCTCGACTGTGGATTGTGGATTGTCTGCCTGCAGCAAGTGCCACATACCCTCTTTTGGTGTTTTGGTGCTAATTGAATTCATTGCCGCGTTGATCAAGTGCTGCCAAACAACAACAAATCATCCCCAGAGGCTAATGATACCAAAACGTCGACTGAGGCAGGAGGCAGCAGGCAGAAAGCAGGAGGCAGAAAGCAGGAGGCACAGTGTCCTGTGGACTCGACTTGCCAAAAACTCCACCATGCCATGGAAACTCTTGGAAAAGTATAGGAAAACGTTGAGGGGAGTCCAAGAAGGAAGGGAGTGCGGAAGGGGGGTGGTGGCTGGGAGCGAGTGCTCCTCTCCGATTGCTGATTCTGGCTGGTTGTTCCGCCAGTTATTTTTGTGCGTTAAATGAAATTAGAAAACCTTATGTTGAGTTAATTGGCAAATTTAAGAGACCACTGAGGGGCGGGGGTACCCACAAGGGACAGAGGGGGCGTTACGTTACAGGTTGAAGCCAGAGAGAAAGAGAGAACTCTTAGGAAAAGTGGAACCGATAGGACAGAATGAAGAAAGGTAGTTGCGATTGAGGAAAGTCCCTCCAAAAGTTGAAGTATTCGATAAGGGATAGGAATGATTGATCCCCAACTTTGAGAGCAGGCATCTCTAATAGAGGACTCTCTGTTTCCGAGTCCTCTGGCAGATGCTTTCAAGATCGAAACAATCCCCTGCCTAAACGCAGCTAGGCCCAAAAATGCTGCCCCATCAATTAGAATGGGATTTCTGCACCGAAACTGCAGCAATTAAAGTCGGCAATGCGTTGCATCCATTGTGCTGGCCATCGAGGCCAATCAATAGGACACCACGGCAGCACCCTTTGCCCCCTCCTTCCGCCGCTGCTGACAGAACAAACAGCCATTAGCTAGATGGCTAACGAGCAATAACCGCTTACAGGACACCACCCCGGCCCAGCAGTCTCCGCACCGCGCTCACCCTCTGATCCCCAGACAAATGCAAATTTGACAATAATAAAATCCAACATATGACAATAATCGCACATATTTGACAATAAAATCGAAAATCGAGGAAATTCGATTGAATATTAGCGGAAAAGTTCAACGAATGCCACAAGGAATGAGGCGGCATTCAGGGACTGAGCGAATGAGCGAATGAGCGAATGAGGGAGTGTTAGGAAGGAGGTGGCATGACAAATCAGTAAAGCAAACATCGCATATAACAAAATTAAGCATAAAATGTGATCATCTGTGTTGACATGAAGATCAAATTGGGACCAGGCCGGGCGACTGCCGCTGCAGGACGACCCAAGAGGGTTGCCCAACAGGGGATAACCAAACTGTAACACCAGCAACAATGGCAACAAAAGTCAGGACTAGGGAACAGGGAACAGGGTACAGGGTACACGGAACAGGATATATAGGGAACAGGGAAGTGAACCCTCAATTCAAATGGCAATTTGCTGGGTGTGTGCCTCTGCTGCCCCTTGTGTGCTGGTGTGCGTGTGTGTTTATAGAAATTATAACTCAAATTTAATTTGCAACAGATGCGACAATCAGGCATCGAGCATCGAGCATCGAGGCAGCATCCACAACAATCCACAACCCCATCCCATCCAAAATCCAATTCCAATTCCAGTTTTACGGTTTGATCTTTGTCACCCTTTTTTTCGGTTGGGCAGACATTTCAATGAATGAAATGCCCTGTGCTCTACTGTGCTCTGCTCTGCTGTGCTGTGCTACAAATTACCCGCTAATAGCTCAATGAATTGAAATTAGGAAGGGACTCAACCTCCCTCCTCCTCCATCCCTTCCCCCGTTCGGGTAGCCCTTTGTGAGCGTGCTCTGTGCTCTGGTTCTGGCTTCAAACATTTGGCCACTTCAAGGCAAATCAAAATAAAGCGCAGCATCAGCAACCGCAGGGCAGCGCAGGGCAGGGCAGGGCCCAGGGTGCACAGTGGGTTCCAAGGGAGATGGAAAGGTTTTCACGAGTTGCAGAGGTAATAGTATGTCAAAGTACAACTATCCCGGACCACTGTGCCAAGCCATTGTCTGATACTCTCGTTTATTTATACAGAAATGCTCTACGTGTTAGAGGGCCATCAGCAGAGCGAAATGAATTTTTATTAGCCCATCAAAACAGCACCAACAAGAAACTGCTGCATAATAACAACAACAACAGCAGCAGCAACAGCAACAGCAACAGATCAAACATCCAATAATAACAATATAAAGCATACTTCAAGGCAAAGACCAGCAGACAGCCACAGCCACCAGTAGAGAAAGGTCTCTCCGGCTGTGTTCTGTTCTGTCTGTGAAATACTTGAGAATTACGTGATAAAGTGGTCTCTCCAGTTCTCTCTCTCTCTCTATCTCTCTATAAAGAAGAATGAAAACGGGGAATCGAGAACACTTCCAAATGAGTTCACATTTTGTGTCACTTTTCCGATTAGGATGGGGTTCAATTATCAGAGTGGATCGTCAGAAGATTCCCCATGAGAGGATGCACTCGGGAATAGGGAAACGATCATGGAATATCATTTGTAGCACCACACTTTGTAAGTGTTAACCGACTTCAAATCACTTGAAAAGATTACCCATAAACCATCCGTAACACCCGTTTGGAGCGGTGGAGCCCAAGTACAACCTGAACACTCCTTCGGTTATCAAAAATTGAAATACCTCGACTGATTTCGATTTCTGGTCTGTGCTTGATAATATATTATATGTATTACCCGTGTATATGGCTCGTCTTCGTCTTCGTCTACGTCTGCGTCTGCTGTCGTCTGTCGGAAATTGAGGCTCACCATGATTTTGCTTCAATTTTCCAACCCATACAATCGAATCGAATCGAATCGAATCGAACATCCAAGTGCTCTTCTGTTGTTCGCTGGCCTGGCTACATTTTAATTAGCGAAATAATTCTAAAGTGATACTATAAATTTAGTCATAATTATTGTCTCAGCAATTAAGTTGATTATCTTCTGCACATTGTGATTTATTTGCAACGATAAGCATTATCGCATCGCCAGTGCCTGTGCCAGTGCCTGTGCCAGTGCCTGTGCCAGTGCCTGTGCCTGTGCCTGTGCCCTGGAGTGCGTTTTTGATTGGATTGGGGCATTCGAAATGCCTTTAAATGGTTCTCTATTTATGATTGCGGTCGCTGTACGAGTATTTGGAAATTCGAGAGCATAGACAGCTCTTAAATCGAAAATAGATTAGATACAAAACAGGGGTTAACAGGAGGTTCCTTCTTCATTTGGTTCCATTTCATACCTTTCTTTCTTTCACTTTTTCACTGCACATAACATCACTTCTTTCAGCTCCTTCTCCTCTTGCCCCTGGCCAATCGTTCCACTTCCATTTGTTATAGTTTTTAGCACTTTATTTCAAAAAAAAAATTCCACCAAGTCATCTGCAATGTTTGGTTTTTTCCTCGTTTTTTTGTTTTGTTGTTACATATTTCTGTATTTGTATCTGTATTTGTATTTGTATCTGTGTGTGTGTTTGTCAATGTAAACTGATTTCTAATAAATACATACACATACAATTAAATACACTCATTCGAAAAAAAAACAAAAAAAAACCTACATCAATGTTAAAATGTTAGAATAACATAATTACATAAATTACACATGATTGGCACACATTATTATTATTATTATTATTATTATTACACAAGCAAATTGTAAAACTAATCTCATTTAACGTAATTGAACGTATTTTATTTTACTGGCATTATTCAACTTTAGATTTATGTTTATTTATAAGTATTTACTTATGTTTTATGCTTTTATCTAAGACTAAAACTTCACAAAAAAAAAAAAAAATTTTTTCTCTAATTAGATGGATGTATGTTTATGTACAAATAGGGGGATGATGATAGTGGGGTATGGGTGATGGGGATGAGGGTGTGGGTGTGGGTGTGGGGGAGTAATGACTTTTAATTTTAATATTTTCGTTGACATATATCACACAGTGCATGGTTTTTGTTGCTGCCCCAAAAACAAAACAAAAAAAAGAAGAAGGAAAACAAACATTTCAACAAATTGCGGAAATCGAAAAGTGTGTGGCTTTTAATGATGGGTGGGACGGCGGATTGATCGCGGCCTGACTAGAATGGATGCCCCTCCTCCTCCTCCTCCTCCTCTTGGGCATCCACATCCTCCTCCTGCTCCTCCTCCTCCTCCTCCTCCTCCTCCTCCTCCTCCTCGAATACCAATTCCATATCCAATTCCATGTCCAACTCTGGGTCCTCCTCCTCCTAACTGGCCGCACTCTGGGGCTGATTCTGACTCTGATTCTGCTGTTGCTGCTGCTGCTGGGCCTTGGCCCGCTCCTTGGCCTCCTGCTGGGCCTTCTTGGAGCGCTTCCACTTCATGCGTCGGTTCTGGAACCAGATCTTCACCTGCGTCTCGGAGAGCATCAGGCCGCTGGCCACCTCGAAGCGCTTCGGTCGACTGAGATACTTGTTCTGCTTGAACTGCTTCTCCAGCTCGAGCAGCTGCTGGGAGGTGAAGGCCGTGCGCGGCCTGCGCGTCTTCCCCAGGATCGCGTGATGCGGATACGCCGCCAGTTCGGGTATGCGGTGGTGGAGCATGCCGGCGCGGGCCAGGAACTCAAACTGCAGCTGCGAGGGCATAAAGTTGTGACCCATGGGGATCTGGGGGATAAACCGAAAACAGAACACAAAAAAGTAATCAATTAGAGGCTGTTGAAGGTGGATGGTTGAAGCCCTCTCTGAGTCAGATGCTTACCGGTATGGGCTTGCCGGATGGATCCAGTGGCCGGTGGAAGGCGGATCCGCCTTGGGCCAGCAGCTGGTACGGATGTCCGCCCGCGTACAGAGGGAAATCCTGGGGTCTGATGGGACTGTGCGGCGGCACGGGCTTCTTGAACTCGTCGTGGAGATCTGACATTCGCATGGACATGTGATGGGGATGCTGGTGCAAGTGCGGATGGATGCCGTGGCCATGTTGCTGCTGGTCCTCGCAGCCGGGACTGATGGGCGGACTGGAGCGATGCGAGGAGCTCGGGGACTCGGATCTGCCCAAAAAAAAAAGAGAGACGGTTAAGAGACACCCTGTATAGGCAATTATCGAATCGAAATTACGCGACACATTTCGAAAAACAATTAAAGTGTCGCTCTGTGCCGCTCCCCCCCTCTGATGGACCCCCACTCCAGGCTTTTGTCTAATTTGTTTGCTTTTCTACACAATTCGCACTTGAAAATTAGCCCCTTCATACACAGGCCCTCTCGCTGCCAGCGACAGACACATGGCGTATACGTAATCTCTTGGAGTGATGACCAAACGGGAATTGGCCAATCGAAGCTCGAAGGCTTTTCCCCGTTTTCTGTTTGGCATTTGGCTTTCTGCCATGTTTTCGAGTGCTCCCAAAGCCGCTTTCGCCGTGCGCGGGCTTCCATGGCTTCCAGCAGGCTTTCCATGGGGTTCTCCAGGGCATCAGGATGGGCTTTACGGCGGCTACCCATGTACTCGTAAGCGACAGCCGGCAAAGTGATTACTCGATAGAGTTGAGGGCTTCGAACTAAAGCTTCTTGGATCGATTCCCAACCCTAGGGTAACCCAATCCCACACATCTCTAGCCGAATCCCATGTAAAAATTCATTTGTGGCTTCTACGATCGATCCCATCCAAAGTCTTGCAAAGTGATTCTCTTGTACTCACCTCGACATGCCGTCGGGACTGGGCGAATCGTATTCCCGCGAGTCGCGTATGCGCTGCAGGGCCTCGTGATCGCTGATTCCGGTGACGGCTGCCGCCGCATGGGCCGCTGCGGCCTGGGCTGCCGCCGCATTGGAGGCGGCCACGAAGGCGTGGTTGAGCTCCGCCTGGTCCCGGGCGGCGTAGTGCAGGGCGGCCAGGCGATCGTCCACGATGATGGGCTGGGGCTCCCGCTCCCCTGACTGGTGCTGGCTCTTGGCCAGCAGCGCGTCGATGCAGAAGGACTTCTTGGGCTGGCTCTGGGCGGGCGGCAGGAGTGTCGTCGTTGTCGTTGCGGTGGTGCTGGTCGTGTGGTTGCTAGCGGGCTGCGGGGAGCAGGAGTTGGAGACGGGCGGTGGGGCTGCTCCATTCACTGGCGCTGCGGCATTGGCGGGCATCATGACGGCGGCGAGGGGCAGGCGTGACAGGGGATATCCTCCGTTCACGTTGACCACAGCGGGATGCAGATGCGGGGCATGATGTGGTGCGAATCCCTCCACGTACAGTCGGGGATGTGTGGGCGGTGGCGCCGGTCCCTGCTGTGGCGGACAGCCCACGGGTATGGGCGCCACTAGTAGGGCCATTCCAGCTGGCGTTGCTCCTCCGGCGGTGATCTGGTCCGTCGCGTGTTCCTGTCCTCCTCCTCCTCCTCCTCCTCCTCCTCCGGCTCCGCCTGGACTCAGTCCCGGGGCGTAGGCGCTCGCGCTCTGTGGTGATCCGGTGGTGGCTGTGGAGTGTGTGGGACTGGCGCCAACGGCCGCCGGACTGGGAGTGGGGCTGCCCCGGGATCTGGGCGAGAGTGTCGATTGGTTGCTGCTCTGATCGTAGTCGTGGGGCGACGATCTCTGCGGATGCGGATGCGGATGGGTATGAGGATGCGGATGATGGTGCTGGTGCTGGCTATGGCTGTGGCTGTGACTGGCGGCGGCTATGTGGCTGAGGATCAGCTGCGACGGCATCGATAGCGCTGTGGTAGTCTGCGGCGGCGGCTGTTGCGACACTTGAGCACTGGACATGCTTCGGTTCTCTCTCTTCCGAATGAAATCCGTTTCAACAGCACGGCCCGGCACGGTACGGCACTCTTTACTGTGTTTCTATATCTATGTATATATCTTCTCTTCACTGTCTTCCACTTTCGCACTTGAACGCGCGATTTCGGTTTCGATTCCGCTTTCGACTGTGCGCTGCGCGTCTGTTCACGTCTGTTCACGTCTGATCACGTCTGTTCAGGTCGAACGTTCATTCGATTGTGCACGCCGAACGGTCTGCTGCGGTGTCATATACCGCTATGCGGACACCACCACTATCTAGCAGCACCAATCACTCGCTCTCGCTCTCGCTCTGACTCTCTCTCTCTCTCTTGCTCGCTCGCTCTCTCTGCTGCTCTCTCTGGCTCTCTCTTTGGCTCTGGCTTTCAAGATGGAGGCTTTATCAGCCGCTCGATGCTGCTGGTGCAAGAGGGACGGCCATACAAAAGGGGGCGTTGCCTTTCCGTAAAATGTCGTATGGCCGGATGGTGGGGGCGTGGGCGTGGCCTGCGAGCAAAAGGAGAGCACACACAGGAATCTCTCGAAGGACAACGAGCAGTGGAGCGGGGTCTGTGTGTGTGTGTCGAAAATTTCATATAAATTGTTGGAAAAACGAGGCTATAATTGCCATCATTATGGAGTGTTGAGCAACTAACAAGTTCAACGGTAAAAGACGAAAGAATCTTCATAATCAACTTGAGTGCGACAGAGAGAGAGAGAGAGAGAGAGAGAGGGAGACTGATGGAGTGAGAGAGAGAGAGAGTGAGAGATAGAGTGGCAGGATGGATGGATGGACAGATAGACACACGAGTGGGGGCACACTTCTGTCTGGGCAGAGATGATTAGGGCAGCAATTAAGGCACTCGAATGGCTCACATTTCGAGCTGAAGAGGATTCCATTCTTCGAAAGCTTTAAGTCATATAAAATCAATAATCCCCACACTTCCTTCCGTTCCCCTCCCTTCCCCCTTTATGGCACCGATAAATGGTTTCGTTTCATGGGATTTTTACAACTTGGTCGCTCATTTCGCAATCATCCAACTGTCCGCTACCGAGGTGTAATGTTCCTATAATGCATTTTCAGTCTGTTGTCTGTTGTCTGTTGTCTCTTTCTGGTATGGTCTGTCAACCCATAGACGATCCATTTTATGAGCCACCCACACGCTCTGCGGTCGTAGGAGACGATTTTAATGTTCCCTTGATGGATTACTAAGTGGACATGAATGGCTGCCAAGTGGTTCCGCACTGCAGATGGGACTATAATGGATTGAGGTGTGATGTGTGTGACATTCGATGGGAGTGGAATCGAATGGAATGGCATCTTAATATCTACCTACGACTTACCTGCTATATATGCTATCATTTGATGTATGGATTATCCTTTGGATCGCTAAGACATTCCGCAATATCTGAAAGAAATATGTAAGGGCTTGAAATGCTGGTATCTTTGATATGTTAGCTATGAGCCCCCCAGAGTTCAAAGTAAACTACAAGTTTTATTCACGAAAATTCTCCTAATTTGAGGTCCTGCACCTATGCCAAGGCAAACAGCAGAGGTCCTCCAAGGAGCTGGCACAGACCCACAAGAAAACAAGAAACTTCCCAATTCCAGAACGAAGAAAACAACTCCATTAAACATATATCATGCAATGTCTGGACATTGGAGAGAGCCAGAGAAAAGGGTAGAGGGAGGAGGGAGGGAGGGAGGGTAGGGTATGGGTATGGGTATGGGGATAGAGTAGGAAAACTGTTCGCTAACAAGAAACGTGCCAAAGTGTATTTTCTTTGGCCACGTACACAGAGAGAACCATACTTAACCCATTCCCGAATCCCCAATTTTCTGAATCCCAACTCAAACCGAAGCCCGAAACCCCGAAAATGTTGTCCCAAAAACGAACTCAAAATTAGTGCGATGTCTGCAATGACGACGACTGATTGCCATTGTTTCTCATCTCCTTCCACTTGCTCTCTGTATAGGTCTCTCTCTCTCTCTCTCTATAGGTCTCTCTATCCTCTATCTGGCTCTTATTTTACTTTCATTATACGATATTTATCTACTCATCCACGTGCATTTAACTAACATTTATGGGATGGAGTCCGGCAGAGATGGTCAGGGTGGACAGGGTGGGGAGGGTGGTCAGGAGGGGGGCCAGACATGACCTGGCAATGGTCCAGGCCACGGAGGAGCATGGCATTGTTCTCTCCGTATGATTTGTGTTGTTTCAGAATAGTTTATTTTATATAACAGCACAAACAAAGACAGACAGGAGAGGAGGCAGAACAGTTGGATAGTTCGTCTGCGAGTGGGTGAAGGTGTGAGGATTGGGGGGGGGGCTGGGGTTTGGGGTTTGGGGACTGGAGCTGGCGCTGGAGCTGGGGTTTGTTTGCCTGATTTCATTTTGATTTTGGGGAAATGGTTGCGTAAATATGCAATTAGAGTTGAAATTTTTGAATGGATGGTTGGCTGGTTGGATGGATGGACGGAATGAGCACTGAATTGATAGATGAAGGGTTCAACTTCATGATTGAAAGGAGTTCGTGACTGAGAGATGCTAGAGGATGAGATAATGAGATAATACAAAGCTCATGCTCAACCCTTTCAAAGGGACTCCCTCCTTCCATCCTTCCTTCCTTTTCCTTTAGGGCCCCTGCCTTTGAAGTAGCAACCCCCTGGCTTTCCCTCCATTTAAGTGAACATTTTCCGGTATATTAGGCAAAACGCTAATCAGGCATTAAATTTGCCAGCAAATATCACAAATGAAAATAGTCTAAAAGGCCAATAAAAATAAATTGTCACATATGCTGCTGCAATTTAGAATTTGTGGTCAACAGAGAGAGAGATAGAGAGAGAGCTATTCGATACTCGCTGCCTCTGTCGCTCCCTTGTGTCGTGTTAATTCAGCCGATAAGTGAACAATAATGCCAAAAAATTTCAACAGATTTCCAGGGGCCTTAGTTAGCTAAGTAAACAGCATTGAAACGTGGGCCATGGCCATGGCCAGGGCCAGGACCAGGACCAGGCAGCAGGAAAAGCCAGAGGAAAAGCCAGAGAAGGGTAGAACCCGAACCCGAACCCGAGGGTTGGGCATTGGAAGAGAGGTTTGGGGGAGGTAAAGCCTAGAGGGTTGATTGAATTGACTTTGACACTTGTGTTTGTTATATTTAAACAAAACAAAGAACACAGTGCGAAAGGGATAAAAGTGTAAAGTGTGCAGTGTAAAAGACTTTTGAAAACATTCTAAAAACAATAACCACAAAACACAAGAGTGGAAAAGTGGAAAAGTGGAAGAGCCACCCTGTTGGAGAGGGAGGTCCTGCCATTAGCTGCTCATTAATCACAGTCCCGCACCCCTTCCCGATCAGATCCGAGCAGATCCATGGGTGGCACAATTGATATTGGGTAAATATTGATGTACAAATAATTGGCATTAAATTGCGTTATCAATAAATGATTTTTTACAATCGAGCTACGGCCATAAACAGCAGCAAAGATACACTCGAAAGATACACAGATACAGCGTATCCATGTATCCATGTATCCATGTATCCATGCATCCAGTGGGGTGGTGCCCTCCATTGGTTCATCATATTGACAGAGTTGGCAGGCGGTCGGGCGGGAACGGGAACGGGAACGGGAGAGTATCATTATCCATCCGCACACGCACTTTTTATGCAAAATTATTACTGCACTTTGGTATTTATCATTCGCTTATAGAGTTACGATACCCCCCGTTGCCCCGTTGCCCCGTTGCCCCGTTGCCTCGTTTTCCCTCATTTTCTGCGCAATATTTAAAGCAAACAGAGGTGCCACACACTGCTGGGCTGTGCCTCTTGCCACACTATCTATGGGGGCCATACGAGACCAAAAGATTTCTCAACTCTCTGGGAGGCAGAGGCTGAGCCATGTTCTACCAAAGTCTCTTAGTTATGGCCCTCTGCCCAGGGGAAATTCCAGCCAGCAATCGCCCAGCCAACATTTGAAGTGCATTCCTCTTTAAATATTCATTATAAATCAACTAAAGTACACAATCTGATTGCAACGAAGGGGCAGCAAGGGGGCAACCAAGGGGCAACGGAGGGGAGTGGCAGTGCGAAATGGAATAAATATTTAATAATACGGCGATAATAAAGTATATTTCATTTATTGACACACCATTTTAATTGAACTTTTAAATGTATGCGAGACACCCCACTATGGCCCCGCCCTCCGCCCCCATCCCCCAGATAAAGGGTTATAATTGAGTTGTGTGTGTGTTCATTAAGTGCGCGAATTGATTTGCCTGTTTTTACAATGTTTTTTATGGTTGGGCCGTTCGTGGAGAAAACTGATAAACTCAACTTCATATTTCTTCTTTTTTTTGTTTTTGTTTGTTTCCAGATTAATATTCATGCGGAAGAGTATGGCCCCTGCCCCTCCCCATTCCGCACCATCCTCCATCGCTGATTGATAATCCTTGGGATTTAGAGAGGAAATTGTCTGATGAACGATTGCAAATTATTGCTTCGATTAGACAACGGAATGATTCTGTCCTCCGCACTGCCTCTATTTATTTATTTATTTCCTCAAGTGCCCGAGAACAGCTCGCTATTTATGTCACAAGTGATTTGTGGGACTTTAATCGCCGCGATAATGCTTTCAGATTTCACAAAATAATCAAAAAGTATGACTAAACGATGGAGCGATGAAGCGATGAAGCGATGGATTGATAGTCAGTCAAAGCAATGCCTGACCTTAGTTTTTGCCTCAGCTTTAACTATTCGTTTTTATAAGTATCTGTATCTGTATCTATATCTATAGCTTCTGTATCTGTAGCTGCATCTGTATCTGCATTGGGTTGCCTCATTAGCCTCGGCGCAAACAAATTTCCGTGTGCCAGACCATCCACATCTCATCCGAACCCATTCCAAGCCAAGAGCAGAAGCAGAAGCGCGGATCGGAGGTTTTGTTTGCACACAACTGAGATACTGAGATACATTTAGCTGCTGCCGTTGCGACATTCCAAGTTTTTTAACCTCAGAGCGAGCTCTGGCTGAGGTTGAGATACTTCCTGATACGTGGATTCCTTCATGTGATGTGTGATGGAATGGGATGGGATGGGATGGGATGTGTGTGGTATGCGGTGTGCGGTGTGGTGTTTGTGCGGGTAGCGCCAGACGATGGGATACGATGGGGAGGGA